AGCACAGGCACGAGCAAAGCGACATTTAAACTTTAAAAGCGCCGTCCCGGTGCTCGGGGCGGCTCCGAGGGCAGCGGGGCCACCGCGGGTTCTGTTTCTGTTTCTCCGCAGAAACACCCGGGGTAGGCGGTTTCCCCCACAACGCGAAAAGACAACAGCGAAACGGAACACCCCGACCCTCTCCCTTCGTCAGCCACCCCCGGTACGACAAGCAGCGGAAAACAAATTAAAACTAGAAAGAGACTTAACGGGTGAAGAGGATGCCGCGGAGACGTCGGAGCCGGGCGGAGCGGCCGAGCCAAGTGACAGCCGACAGCTCCTCGGGCCGGGCCCGCCCCGGCCCCACCTCGCCCGACGCCCCGGCGGGGCGGCACCGCCGGCCGAGCGCGGCCTGGGGCGGCAGCGCGGGCCGCTCCCGCCGCCTCCTCACCTGGTGGACGCCCGCTGCGCCGGCGGCAGGTCGCGGCACATCCCGCGGAGGGCGGGCGGAGGGAGGGCGGCCCGAGCCCGGTGCGCGGCCCCTCAGCGGCCCCTCAGCGCCGCCATTACCGGCCCGCAACTGACACGGAGCGGCGGCGGCGGCGGCGCACAGGAAAATCTCGCGAGAACCGGCCTGCCGCCGACCTTCCCAGCATGGCGCCGTCCCGCCGGGCCCCCCTCGGCGCCCGCCGCCATCTTGGGTGCGGCGCGGCAGCCCTGCCCTCCCTCAGCCTCGGGAGAGCCTGGTCCTCCAATATTTCCCTCGGAGCTTTTCTTTTTCTCCTCACAGTTCTACAAGCTCGACCTGCCGGGTCAGTCCCCTCGCGTTTTATTTGCAGAGCCCTGGGTGTTGGTGCAAGGCCAGGACTTGGCAATGCTAATTAAACCCAGCGCTGATGTTGGCATTCCTGAAGCTGCTCCAGCCGAAACTAGGGCACCGCTTTTTAGTCATTTGTGTTCATAGCTAAGTTATCTTTAGAAAAATAATTACTTTTTTTTTTTTTTTTTTTTTTTTTTTGCAAATGAGGGCGTCTCCGATTACGCTCTCCCAAATTTAAATTTAAATAAACATTTGCAGAACTTCAGAGACATGACTGAGTACCACAGGCTTCATTTCACTTTTAACATTCATTATAGACACGGAAGAATTTGTTAGTAAACTGAATTCTAATGCATGGATTCCACCCCGAAGATGCATTAAAACCACCCACGCTTCAAAAATAGGTCTAAGATATTATCCAGCTATAGCAAAATTATTTCCACTGAAGAAGGAAAGTTATTAGAATAGGAAAAAAGAAATTCTTCCTACAATTATTTTGGGAATGCTCCCTTCAGGGCCTGTCTACAACTTCCCCAGTCTGGTTTTAAGTCATTAGTGTGATTGTTTGGTGCCAAATTTCTTGAGGGAACAGAGGGGTGGAGAATTACCTACCCCAAACACTAAAGGATCATGGTAACTACTGGAGCTACTTATTTCAATTTTTTTTTTTTTTTTTTTACTTCACTAAAAAGGATTAACCTATTTTTACATAGCCTCTCCTCTAGTAAATGGTCAGCATTTTGCATGTAAGTTATTCCAGTATGGGAACATCATAGGAAAACACCCTAAATACTGAGAGATTACAGCTATGAAGTTTAGGTAATGCCAAATTTAATCACATCACAATTACAGGATACTCATTTAGCCTTAATTTGGATCTTTTACATATACAAGCTAATTACAGAGTACATTTTCCTGCATAAGCATACTACTTTTGGAAGAAAAGGTAAGGTCGAGATGTCAGCGATTAAACCTTTGGAAATTATTTTGTTTTGCCAGATGAGGAGAAAAAAAATGCCTGAGCATGGAAAGACAAGCACAAGTCCAGTGGGAAAGAGTGGTAAGCAGTATGAAATTCCCTCCTGAGTCCTCGAAGAGCAAACTTGCTGCTCCCAAATGCAGGAGACTGTAAATAATAATAATAATAATGACAATTTCAGTCAATGAAAACAATATTACTGCAATGTATGGGAGCCCTGATTGCAGACTAGGGCAAATTCAATTTTTACATTCCCCATCATTGCATAGTGTTTGCTTAAAATTACTGCTTAATATTGCTGGACGGGCAGCCTATTTAAATTATTCAGCACTTTCGTAATGTACTGCCTCTTTAATTATGCTTTTAAACATAGTTTCTCTTTTCTGCTTGGAAGCAGTTAGTCTAGTTTCACGCTCCTACTTCTCCAGGCAAACCAGGCATCACTTTAGGATTTTCTCAAACATGGAAATTATTTAGTCTCAGCCGAATATAAATTAAAAGGCTTGTATTCTGTTTTTGCTCGTGTTTGTTCTCTGCCAGTGGAACCTAACTGAAACACTTTAGATTACACTTTCAAAGATTCCCTTGCAGTGAGTGGAAAGCTCTGAGGGGCAAACGTCCTCCGCGAGACTAGAAGGAGATTCTTGTGGAAAACTCAAATCAATCACCTTGTGAAATTCTCAGCGATCAGAAATAAAGAAACCGTTTACCTGCAAACAGCTCTCAGCCAAACTGAGAGGACGGGAGGAGTTGAACACTCTCCAGCTGGACGAGCTCCGTAAAGGGCAAAGCAACGCAGGGAACAGCAGCGAGCGCTGCCCCAGCACTGGAGGTGGTGGATGGAGACACGCAGTAAGTTAAAAGTAAAGAGCCACATTCTCATCTTTCACTATCTCGGTTATTGCAGCTTTAAGAGAGAGGTTTGGAAAGTTTTCCACTCCACACTGTTCTTGCACACCCCTTCTAAAATTAGAAATGGGCAGCTGGCTCCTGCAGCCAAGAGCCCCCAGACTCCCTCCCCCCTTTCCCTGATTGACTCCCAAGGGCCATGGAGGAATTTGGGGAAGGGTGCTTCCACCTGTTGGTCATGGAATGAGATTTTCCAGCCATACAATTATAAATCCAACTGTCAGGAGCTGACAATAAAACAGGACACAGGACAGCTGTGAGGACTACAGGACACCCGCCTCCCTTCTCTCTACTCCTACGACTTTGCAGTCCATCTGCCAGCAGAAACAATGCATGAAAAATTGTTCTCTTATAAAATAAAGGCATCGCTTCAGATTTCTTCCCACAGTTTTCCAACTGTACCACAAGGTCGTAACACAGAATCTGGCAAGTTGTTCATGTTTCATTACACCCCTCCGAAACCAGATTATTTTTCCTAAATACAGCATGCTGGCAATTGCACTGCAGATGGTACATATAGCTGTGTCCTGTACAGCAAATAATTTTATTTGCTGTCTTAACATGGAGCTCTTACCTTACCTTTTGCACTCAGTTTGAGCTGGACTTTTCATTCCAAACAAACGCAATTTTCAAAAACAAGGATACGAAAGCCACAAGTTTGTGGGTTTTTGTAATTTTATTTGCAGAAGGTATGATTTTGTTGATGTGAAAAAATGGGGGAAAAAAAATTAATTCCTATTTCCAAACCTGCTTAGCATGTTCCAAACTCAGCACAGCATGACTCAGAGCAGGGTGTGAGAGACAAGGTAACAACAGCTGGGCAGTGCTTTGTTCTGGGTTCCTTTCACAACATCCACTGCTGAAGGCAGTAAGGTGATTTCCATCCTGCAGGTGCCCACAGGTGACAGCAGCAGAGGGGCCACACTCCCCCTTCCAGCTGCAAGGGGCTCTCACCAGCTGCAGCTCCTTCTGCTCACAACCCAAGGAGCACTTTGACCATTTCCAGTCCTATTTGCAGAGTGCTGGAAATCTTACTGGAGTTTGGTGTGTAGCTGGTTCAGCCCCCCCTCCAAAATATCATGTTCTACTCAAAAGTTTTTTTTGCTAAAGGCCACAGAAGAAGAAAAATCCCCTTCTTGGTCTCAAGGCCAGATCTGGCATCTTTGCTCTGTAAAACCACATTTTTTCTGTCACAAACTAATTTCCTGATCTGCTGGCAGTCAGGGACACTTCAGCTTCACAAGTGAGATTTCTCAAGAAGGAGCCAAACTATTTTACAGTTTGGAAAACGTCAAATGACTCCATTTGCCCCAGGCAACAAAATAATTATACAAGGATAGCAATCAGCTGCCTGTGAGGAACACAGACAGACATTACTCTTCACCTCTGGCTGAGTAGGAGTTGCTTAATGAGATCTGCATTAAGTACCTGTGGATATTTAATGAGAACCTTTTAAGGACAAAGCCACAAACAGCTACAAAAGGACCTGCTGCTTCAAGAGCAGGAAGAGTCTTCTAATCCCCAGCCTTTCCCCCTCCCATGGAAGGGGCAACTGACTAATATCTTATTTTTCATCTTTTTCAGACTAAGCAGCACAATACATTTGGAAAGACACCCTTGTAGGCTTTCCCTACAGTTCATAACAGCAAAAAAAAAAGTGATTTTCCTTTGGCTAGCACAACATTAAGTCTTTAGTTTCCAGACATCCTATTTTATCTCTTGAACCAGGAATATACCCCTATAAGGAAGAAAAGTTTTAAAAACAGAAAATAGCCTGCATTAAATATGTTTTATTTGTATGTGTGTGAATCTCCTGTCTTCATATCACATCTCTTTTTTTTTTTTTGTGGTAGCCAGTTCTGATAATTTTTTTTTAAAGTTACTTTTCAGTAAGATTGTCTTCTCCAGTCAGTTCACAGTGCACTAGTTTGCAACACCAAAGGTACAGAACATGCAGCTAGGAGTGGAACAAGAATGAAGTCATCCCTTTTGTCAGCTGCTGACTCTTGTATAGGCTAATGAAACAAGTGAACCATATCTTATCATTAGTTCCAGCTGAAATCAGAACTGGGGAATTAGTAAAAGAACAGCAAGTAAAAGACAGTTCACAGCCATTTCCTGAAATGTTGTTCCATGTTAGACATAAGACCTGGGATTATGAAATACATGCATCTGCATCCTAGTATCTACCACTCCACTCAAGTTTCTTAAAAGTTCTACGTTTTGCAAAAGGTTGTATTTTAGGCACCTGTAGCTGGTCAAAGGTGAAATGAGCAATTTAAACATGGGGAAAAAAAGTCTGACCATTTAAAATTCAATGGGCAAGTCTTAAAACAGCTTTTATAAAACAAATAAGTGTGTTTATTTTGAATCATTACTAAAATAGTTTACGTAATATACAAACAAATATGCTATGAGGACACATTTGAAAATAAGTCACAGTTGTTTTTTTTTATTAAAAAACATTTGTCCAGTGAAATGCTTGAAATGTAAATGCCATCTTTTCCTTCCTGAGCTATTAAATATCCAGAATAACAGCACTTCCATGTCTGTTTACTGTTTTTATTTCTGCCCATTAAAATAGTAAGCATTATCCATTGCTGGCTCTCCATAGTTTGAACAAATCCACCTCTGGTTTAAGTGAGCACAGCTGTGTGTCTCCTAAACTCTGCTCCTTTATTGCTTCAGGTGATTTTGGTTGATTCCACTTAACACCCCCAACCTTGCCTTGCACAAAGGAGCCAGAAGCTCCAGCTCCTCAATGGGTTTTCCTGGTTGAAAAGGATTATTTTGTAAGAGGACAGTTCAAGGGGCTTGTGAATGAAGGATGGGCCCAATCTCTCAGCTGTTACAAGAAAACATCCTACTGATTTGAGAGCATCTTCACACATTCCTTCATATTCAATAAAACCAAATGGACATGGACCAATAGCTCAGAGCATGAAGTAACAGCAATGAAATGGAAGTGCTGCTATTCTTTTTTATTTTTTTAAGCGAAGTACTAAACAATAGAAACAGGTACATGTTTTTAATCTGGTGTGAAGAATTCTTGACATGAGAGACTAAAAAACATATTAAAAGCATGCTCTGCAAATCTGTTCTTTGCTAGAAATGTATACAGCAAGCAGCCAGTTATACACAGATACAAGAAGAAAACTTATTTTTTTAGGATATCAAGTACCACAAATAAATAGATTCTCTCAATGCAAAAATAATTATCTTAGTAAAATGAGAAATAGCCTATGTCTTCCTAAAGTTTTGTTTGGAAAGGATACAGTATGTACACAGGGATAAACATTTTATCATTTCCATCCAGATTTTAAGACTTGCAAAACATTGAAAAAGAGTAGAGAACTCCTGCAAGCAGCCAGGCAAAGAGGTACTGAGGAATCACTCAACTGACATTAGTACTACTGACTTTATGCAACCTTTGTACCTCAGCTTTTCTCTTTCTCCAGAATTGTGCCAGGCTCATTTAAGGAAGAAATGCTTGCTGAAAAGTTCTCTACAGGTCACAGATATTTCAAGCAATTTTGCCACTTCTACAGTGGCCAGAGACAGCTGACATCTATGTTGTGATCCAATGGATCAGGAAGAAGCTTGTGCTTAGACTCACATCACTTTGTCATAATTTTCAGTTTATTTCTTATGTTAGAAGAAAAGTAAGCAATTCTGGGAGATGAAGGTGATGGTTTTACATTCTGTTACCTTGTCAAATGTGATACCAGCTTTATGCACCACCAGAGAAGGATCCTCACAACAAAGCCAACAGTGCTTCAACACAGGTTCAGAGGCAAATGTGTGACTGCTCTGACGCACAGCAATGTCCAGCTGCAGGACACCAAGGCTGAATGCATCACTGAATACAATTTACCAATAACCAGCAAATTCCTTGCTTATATGATGTAGTTTACTTAGAGAAGTCCCAGTTACTTTGGCAGAAACAACCCTGCCAGTTGGTGGAAAGTCTCTGCACAGAAAGGACTCGTTTGCTGCTGCCTGAGCTCAGCAGCCACACTAAATTCTTCCCTATTCTGCCTTGCAATATATATTTTGCGTCTTCCTCCTTTCCCAAGTGCCCTCCAGCAACTTTTACGTGCATCCCTCCAGAGGGAGGCCCTTTTCAGGTCGAACAGGCAACACAAGATGAGATATCCGGCTCCACAGTCCACTCAGCTTATCTGTGTCCATGCCGTTGTAAGAAGTAGGAACATCTGAACTGGTGAACTTTGCCCAGAGGAAATCCCGGACTTTCTCCTCCACTTCTTGAAAGGTGAGGCTCTTTCTCAGCGACTGCTCGTCCAGGAGAACTGTCAGCAGAAGAGCCACATCCTTAAACGCTGCATTTTCATGGTCACAGTACTTGTAAAAGATTAAGGTGGAGCCTGCAGGCAGTGACTCAAATCGATGCACCACTGCCACCTTCTTGCCTTCAGTGAACCCAGAGCTGAGCTCTGTGTCCACCTCCAGTTTGACAGAGTCACTGTCCTGTACAGCCTTGTCCACTGCGTTGATGCTGATTGTAGTGGCATTTTGGGAGGAGGCAAAAGCGTTGGCAATCTCATTGCTCAGGCACCTCAGGGCCTTCTCAGCTTCCTGGCCAGCTGTGAGCAGCAGGATAGCAGGCTCCAGATGCACGTGGGAAGAGTTAAGACGTTTCTCAAGGAAAGCATGGGCTCTTCTCCACAGGTTGGGATCCTGACTTTGGTAAGTATTTTTTAGTTTCTCCATCTGGGCCCGAAACGCTTGCAGAATTTCAGCATCTCTCCTTGAAGAGGTTCCATCTTGAATTCCACTCCACAGGACATAAAGCAATGGGACACTAATTAACAGAATCAGTAACAAAGTCCACATCTTGTGAAATCCATTCTGCGATTCACCATCATCTATAGAGAGGGAGCAAACAAGAAGAAAATGTTTTAAAAGGCATCAGAACTCAACAAGTGAAAGGAAAATAGGAGGAAACAGTGAAATCATGCCATTCTCAATACTGGTACAGTAGCTGAAGAGCACAGAAAAGATGATCTAGTTAAAAAAAACCAAACAAACCACAAAAGAGAGAACACAGTTTTGAACTTCTTAAGCCACTTCATGAAGTGACAGCATTAAAAAAATCCCCATTTTTACATGTTCCCAGATTGACTGAGACTATATTAGATCTTCTTCAGGAAAAGGAGCTCCTAAAGTTCATCAATATTCCATTCAATTTAATAAAATCCAAAGTAAGAGCTTAAAACGGCTCTGAAAAAGGTCAACACTTTTCCTACATTTATGGTCTGCAGAAAAGATTCTGTGGAAAACCTGGCTGCACTAGAATGGTTTCTGTGTTATTTCTCATTCCTGTTCCCATAAGGATAAAATTGCTGCAGCAATTTTTGCATCTCAAACACTGGTGGGTCACCACCATCAGAAAACGTTGTGGCCTTTGGATCAGTGAGCTTCAAAAAGTACACACAGCAAACAGTGCACATCAAATACTAAATATTTTGATTTGGTTTTGTATTTGAACAGTTAAATTAACACTTGTTTCACATACTGCAAGCAAAAGGCTTGATTCTGTTCCCGGTAAAATGAGTGACAAAATACACCAATCTTCCTGGAAACAGAAAGAACTGTATTCCTTTTGTTACCTTTTTACACCCCTTTATCAGGACAGCAACCCAACAATGGTTAAATAACACCATCACTATCCCTGCCTACGTTTTCATCTTGTAAACATTATAGATGAAAGACCTCAAATTCAGGTGAAAATGTTACTCATTATACAATACCCTTCCTTCCTTCATGCTGATGACACGACCTAGCAAGCAAATCATCTATTCTGGCAAGGACCCTCAGCTTAACACCAACTCCCAGAAACGGAAATACTTAGAAAGGCATGAAAATGGTTAAATGTTACACAAGAATGAAACAGAAGTGAAAGCAGAAGTCTTACTTTTGGCCAAAGGCTGTGACTGCTTCTCCGTACTGGACTGATACCGAGATTTACTTCCGCCTGTTAAGAGATTAAGAAAGGAACATGAGAAGAATACTAAGATAATAATTATGAACAATCTTCCAGCAGGGAGTTGAAATCACCAAACTGCATTATTTTCAACAAAAAGCTGTCCCTAGCTATGCTTTTACATACAAAATTCCACAAAGCTTACAGGATGGCTAACAAAGCACCCTGCTGAAGCAAACACAGTCCTGCTAAGTCAGAGCAAAGGCTGTCACCTCACCCCAGGTGGGGATGTGTTGAGTTCAGGGTTTTCAGTTCTTTTCCACATCATTCGCCCCCTCGTGCTCAACAGAATCATCTTGAACAAGGAAAATAACCTGCACCACTATTACCAGCCTGAGAAGTCTCACTCAACTGTCAGAGCAAATCTCCATCTCTGCTCTTTGCCAAATGCCAGTTCCCAAACCATCCTGACAATCTCACCTAGAAAGCCAAGTTCCCACTCTACCACAAATCACCCCCAAAGATTTTCAACTCTTGAACAATTATGCAAATAAAACTCAATTTCAATTTCAAGGTGATAAAATAGAAGAGATTTAACAACCTGTTACTTTCTGCACAAGGATCCCATGTCCCAGTTAAGTTTCCTGATGTTGCTCAAGAATTTGTGAGGCATAAAAATGGAAACTGAATTAATGGACACATTAGGTAAACAACATAATGCAAGACATAAATAGTGCCTTGGGTTGCAATGCAAGATGTAACTAAAAGTATGTATTCTATTACCACCTGTTAAAACCAGGTGAAGCAGTGTTCTTTATCTTTTCTATGATCTATCTTTCATAACTGCAGGGGGAATCTCTTCTGTTAATGGGCCATTGGGTCTCACTGCATGCATGACTGATAAAATGACATCATCCCATGGGGAGATGCTCCACTCAGGGGGAAGAGCCCAGCATTCCTACCTGGATATAATCTGAGCCTTGGAACACCACAGCCTTTCTTCCTCTGGCCCATCTACACCACCCCTGGATCTACAGAGGAAATCTACACCCTTCCACAGGGTCACTGCTTCAACAGAACCACATCTGCCACTCCAGGAGAGCTACAGCCACCATTTAATTAAACTGCTACCAACACCCTGCCCAACAGGGTGTCAGGTTGTATTCTGACCCTGCTAGTAGATTTTTTCTTGTACTACTGCTTTTTTTTTTTAATTTTCCTAGTAAGGAACTGTTATTCCTATTCTCATATCCTTGCCTGAAAGCCCTGGATTTCAAGACTATAATAATTTAGAGGGCAGAAGGGTTTTTATATTTTTCCATTTCAAAAGAAGTTTCTGCCTCCCTTAGCAGACACCACCTCTCTTTTCAAACCAAAGCAACAGAAAAAACAAATCAATGTGTTAAATGCACAGTCTTATTTCCCTCTCTCCATGTAGCTTGGGTTGGAGGCGTGCTTCATCAGCAGTCAGTTTCTTGGGATGAATTACGCTTTTAAAGCAAAGTGCAAGCTTTCAACTTCAAAATATACTTTTGGTCTATTTAAATGGGCTCACACAGCTCAGAAAGTACAAGAGGCATTATCCATAAAGCATTATGAACAACTTTCCCAAAAGACTAGTATGAACATATACCATGCAATTTTTGGTCAGCATGTTTTCTGCATTTAGCCAGTTAATTAAAAAGACAGGAGAATCTATGTCTCCTTGTGAACTACAGCAACTAGTTCAAAGCTGAAGGCTCTTTAATAATATATAACCAAATCAGGACACTGTCAATGGCACTATTGAGAATAAATTGAACAAACATACCCTGCAGTAGTTATTTAAAGACACTGAAAGAAACTTTAACCTTGTTTCTGTATGAATGTAATCGCAGAAGGTGCGAAAAGCAGCTCTGGTATAAGCTGGGGCTTAACTGGCTTAATGAACTGCCCTATTCTGTAATTTCAACCCCCTACCCCAAAAGGGCACAGCCATGGAGCTTGTCACTGGCTAAGCTTATCTCAATCTTCTAAGAGTTAACAGATCAAAATCACCCCGATTCTGTAATACGTCACAATGCAGCTCTGTTTGCACGGATCAGCTTTCATATTTAGGTGAATGAGCTGTAACTCGTACACTAAAGGAAAAAATAATTCAATAAACAATCTAAAACCATATCCTACTCTGCCTAAGAACTCTGCCTTATTTACAGCAGTTTTCATGAGGGCCCAGTAAATTTTGTCTTACTTAATTCAAAAAGTCTAACTTCTGCAGAAACCTGAAAGATTTCAGAGTTTTAGGTGATCTTCCAAAGTTCTTCACCAAAGACACAATTAATCACTCCTGCAGTACCTGGAGTGGCACAGAAAAGTACCAGATGAGAGAACTCCCTGCATCAATTCATTTTTCAAAGGCATTTCACAGATGTGCAGCTTCTGTTCCTGAAGGCACCATAGTTTTAAAAAAAAAACAACCAAAACAACAAAAAACCCCAAAAGAAACAAAAACCCCACAGGTTCTTCAGACTGAAATCTGATTTACAAAACTTCATGTACCTATACCTCTTGAGGATAGAAACAAACACCAAGATTTTACTAAGAACTCAGAACATTTTTCTTCTTCTTCTTTCAAGTACTCCTCCAAGAGAAAAAAAAACAACAACCCACAAAGAAAAAAAACCAAAACACTGCAAAAGTCTGAAACAGTGGGAGCTGGTCATTAGATGAGCAGGATTTTGCCAGCAAAGAAAAATGCTGTTCCTTTCCAGGAGTATAGAACAACTAATTCAATCACAGCAAGTTACCACTTCTCAGGGAAAGGATAAAAGGGAATGTTTGTGTACAAACTAACATTCACTGCCACCAAAAGGTGAAGGTTTTGTTCCCTTCCTCAGCTTACCCCCACCATAATGCCTCTATTCCATGCTCTGCACTTACTGTCCCCCATAAGTCCAAAAAGAAAAATAAAAGAGAAAGTGGAGCATTTTCTGTGGTCAGCAAGTTGAGTAACCTCACAGAAAGGCTCTGACTGGAATGTACTCCCTTCTCCAGCTTCTGTTTGAATCTGCCTCCTGAGTGCCTGTCCATCTTCCCAGACAGTGTCCCAGGGTACAAGAAAAGCCAGAAGCAGAGGAAAGGAAAATAACAGTCCTTTTCATCTCATGACAGGGAAGGACTGGGGTTCTCTTGTTTTACTTACTCTGTGGTGCAGAAGTTGAGCAGCACCCTTGATTTTTCTCAAGAAAGTCAGCCTTTCTTTCTGAAACCAAAGCACAAATGGAAGAACTTGGTTACCACGTAAGAGGTCAGAATAGGACAGAGCAGCCATACATGCTTTTAGCTCTTTTCATGAAATCCTCAAAGCTTATTAGGGCAGGTGGATATGCTGTGCTGCCAAACCAAGCCTGCAGTGTATGAACAGCCTCTTTAACCCCTCTGAGCTGGAGAAAGCTACTGTTACCTATTAGAAAGGGCTTGATTTGGCCCTTCACCCTGCTTTTGCCAATATGACAAATCAATCTTCTTATGTTTTCTTTTAAAAAGACACATAACTTCCTTCTGTTTCTAAAAATTATCTTGATTTTTTTCTCCTTGTACCTCCCCACTGCTTCTGTAATACACATTGAGAAAAATCTCTGAACAAGCAAAGTGCTCTCTCACCTTGAAATCTCTTGGTGTAGTCATTCTCCTTGCTAAAGTCAAAGATAACTCACCTTTTAGAAAATTAACAGTTTTATTTTTTTTTGCCTGGGGCAAATAAAGATCCACTCTCATAAGTTCTTTGAAGGCAGTTTTTTGAATTTTGGTATTACTTTTGTTTTTGTTTTGCTTTTCAAAAACCACACAGTTAGGTATTTATCAAAGTTGCAATCCGCCTTTTCTTGAACTTTAAGGTTTTGCACCCAAGCAGACTATCATCATATTATAATCAGTTTTACTTTGGCTCAGGCAGAAGTATACACTGAAACTTTATTTTTTTAAAAAAACCCACCTTTTTCACCCATTCAGATTTCAGCTCAAAAACTCCCCCTTTTCTAACAGAACTGAATAATTGTCATTTTAATACATTTAAGCAATCATTTGTTACACCATGGAAAAAGTACTGATAAAAGCTGTTACCTTTTAATGGTGTATAAATGTTTGGTTTCTCAGTTTCATTACTGTCACAAGCCTTTGCCTTTTCCCTTACTGGATTCTCTTCGAAGTAAGTACCACCTGTCAGGAGCCAAAAAAGAACAAAAAGAGGATTGGTAACCTCATAAATCTGAAGGACCAAGTTGTAGTTTCCAAACATCCATGATCTAAATTGGTGATTTTCCAAGCTGTGAACTAACAAAAGTTACTCTTAAAATGCAACAAAAAGCAACTAAGACTTGAATTGCTTATGGTAAATTTGAGTTCACTAGAAATATAGCTGTCTACACCACCATACACTTCTTTTAAAAAAATAAATTATTATTAATTCTTGGCTTAAAAACATGAACACTAGGAGCCAAGAAATTCCTTACACTAAGGGGATTCAGTGTAAATGCCATGGGAATATAGAGTTTTTCCCACAGCTTTGGGCACTCAACTTACAAACAATAATTGTGCTGTCTTATGCATCATTGGACAGAGGGGGAAAAGAGACAGAAGTAAATATAGAAAATAAGTTCCCTTTTAATGGAGTCTAAGCCATCCTTTAGTTAGGTCTCATTCTCTCCTAAGCCCTAACAGCAACCTAATTTCACCCCTCAGGTAGCTGGGAAAAATCTAAACCAACATCTTTCAGGTGTTTGCCAAATCACAGAGTCATTCAGCTGTGAAACCAAACTTATTAAATATCACTGACTAGAAAAAGTAAAGCCCTGTGGAGTATCAGAGGTCACAGAGCAAAGGTCAGGGCTGGGAAACCAAATGCAGGAAAGGATAAAAGTGCAACCCCAGAATCAAGGGGCTGGCAAGAAAAAGCTCAGGTATAGAATAAAAAGCTATGGAACAGTTGGGGGACAGAGATTGTGGCACAGCTGTCAAGCATTAGCAGAGCAAACAGCAAAGGGAAGAATACAATTGGTAATTTCTTTCTAACATTTACTCTGGGCCCTTTTACTCTTTAAACAGCCCAGGGCTCTGCTGGGGTTTAGTGTGTTTCTGTAGCTCTTTCACCAGATGCCAAGGGCAATGCACAGCTTGCCACCTAGTGTTTAGTAATTTTACTTCAACGAAGAAAACAGCCTTTTTCTAATGTCTTCTGGCTGTTTCAGCACACCAGTGTATGTCAAACATACTGAGGAGAAAAACAAAACCACCAGACCCATCCAAAACACAAAAAAAAAAAGTGAAAAAGCTGTAAGTTTTAAACTATGGTAAGTCACAGGTGCAACAGTGAAGTATTAGCAGACACTTAATGGGGCCTTATGTTTTAAATCCATCTTAAAAAACTGTTCAGTGACTGATTTCCCACAAAGCTCAGAACAAAGAGACTCACCAAATTACTTTATTTTCAGGAGTGCCAAATTACATATCCATAATATTTCACTATGTATGGAGGTTTTACAAGGAACATCTCCCTAGTAATTGTGACCAGAAGACCAAAAAAAATTTCTAAATCTACAGAAGGCTACTCAGGCAGTCCCTGCTCTTAATTCCTCTCCCCTTCTTGGCATCAATCACCGCTCTTTCTGTCTCAAAGACTTCTTGGAAATTGCAGAAAAGAAAGGTCTGTAAAAGACAACTTCCATGGAGACTGCTAGCACGTATCTTCAGCTCACTGATCTAGAAGCTGACTGATTCAAGGCAGGGCTTGTTAGGCTCTTAAAACTCTGCAAGCTCTTCTTACAGCTCTTAAAGCTTTTCAGCTCCCCAAGCAAGTTGCCTAACCTGTATTTAAAACCTCTTAGTAGAAGACAGGAACCAGTTTCTCAAGGTGTGGTTTTGCTTCCATTATGTTCTCAGGGAAGCAGGGCAATCATGCTCCCCTAACAACCCAGCCTGCTAATCCCCCATCTCACAGACAAACCCCTAAACTCTGCAGGAAAAGCACAATATTGCATATACTGCACATCTACAGACAGGGGAGGCTACTAATCCTCTGCCTCTACATAAACAATTAGTCTCTTATCATACTTTTACACCTGTTGTGCCTATAATCCAATACAGCTGTTAAGAGCTGGGGAGAGTGGGGGGGAGAGTAGCCTCATTTTTAGAGCCATCTAATTAAAAACCCAACCCTCAGCTGCACAGCCATGTTTAATACACTAAGCCTATTATACCCTGTTAGCCACTATGTGGGAGCAAGACCTGTTTTACAGATAAATTTCTGTATTTGCCTAAAGAAACACTCATGACCTTGCTCTTCCTTCTTCAAGGTAAGATTTTTTTCCATGCCTCCTGAAAATTCTGCTTCTGGAGCAGAATAGAAGCGGACAATTCTTGATGATAAAACAGAGATGGGAATGGAGAACAGTCCCAGGCTAGCCCAACTGAGCACCTCCAAAATAAAGAGGAAGGAAATACAATTTATTCACAGTTTCCTGTTCAAATGACAGGCTAAATCTACATGACTGTGTTACACAGAGTTAGCACATTTCTATAGTTTAAAGAAAGACCCAGGTTTCATCAACTAAAGCAACAAGAAGATGCCACACTGTGCTAACACAGCAGCTTGTCCAGCCCAGTGTCCAGGAGCAAGTACAACTCTGTACAAAGTCCCAGCACATGCCTGGTGTTTCAAAAGGAGAAGCCACAATTATGCACTTCCTCATAAGCAACGCTGCTCCCTGTAAGGAGCACAGCCATTGAGGGATTGATTTCTGCAGCTCAGGATACCTTATTTAAATCCTGCCTTTCAAAGCCAAGCAGTGTTAGTAAAACTTGAATGCTGGGCTCAGATATTGTTCCAGATATTTACTGTAGGAAAAACAGCCCCCTGAGGGTTTCAGCGTGCTCTGCACACACCAATCCTTTACAGCACTGCTTCTCCTTCCATCCCTCGTGTATGGGATAAGAGCCACAGTGCGATTTCCTCACCTGCGTGCCAGAGCCACGGTATCACCTGCCAAGGAGCTAGAACCCTACAAACCACATATCCCTAAGTTTGGGGCATTTCAGCCCCACTGCCTGCAGTGCGGACTTGTGAGCTCCGGGAGCTGGAGCCTACCTGGCGATCTGTAGGCTTTTATAGGGGGTCGCGTCAGGGAGTCTGGGGTCCCAAAGTGATGCTTGTCCCCTGAAACGAGATACGGGTGAGGAGCACAGCCGGCAACTCCGCTCAAGCCCACCGGGCCCAGGCCCGACAGCCTTCCAGGAGCACCGGGAAGGCTCAGAAGCACCTTCCAGGACTCACCGGGAGCCCGCGGCACGGCCCCGTCCCAACACCCCCCGGAGGGGAACCACAAGGCGCCCGCCCGCCGCACTTCGCGCCGCCCCACCGTGCCCTCAACCACAAGATCCACAGCGGGCCGCTGCGCCCGCCCGCGCCGCTCACCCTGCAGCGCGCCGTGCTGGGCCGCGGCGTCCACCTCATCCTCGGGCTCCTCCGGCCGCGCCGCCGCCAGCCGGGGGCTCTTCCGCCGCCGCTTCAGCCCGGGGCCGTCCGGGGGAGCCAGCTCGGGGCCGTCCGGCGCAGCCGCCTCATCATCGCCGCTGCCCACCATCCCGCCCGCTGCCGCGCCGCGCCGCCTTCCCCGTCCCCGTCCCCTTCCCCGTCCCCGTCCCCGTCCGCCCACCGCCGCCTGCCCGGGCCTGTGGCTGCCGCCTTCCCGCGGCGGCGGGAGCGGCTCCGCGGGCCTCACTTCCCGCGGGGCGGGACCCGGGCCCGTCGCTTCCGCCCGCGCGCGGAGCGGCCGCCGCGGCGTCACGTGGTACCGCGGCCGCTCCGCCATGGCCCCGGCACCGCCCGAGCCGCGCGCGGGGGCCGGGACCGGGACCGGGACCGGAACCGGGATCAGGATCAGGCCCGGCGGGAAGAGCCCGTGGAACGCCCGTCCGGCGGCCCCGTGGCTGCCGCCCCCCAGTGAAAAAAATGCGGGACGGCCGCGGTCCCCCCAGGCCGCCGGGGCCCCGCGGGGGCGGCCCCTGAGGGCAGCCCGGGCCCGGCGCTCCCCACACGGTTCTTCTCTATTTGAGGTCCCATCGTAGCCAGTTTTGCATTTCTCGGAGGCAGAAAAACCTGTAAAATTAGCAGAAATAGCAACTGAGTAGCAGAGAGAGGAAACTAGGAGCTACTTCGGGGGATCCTTTGCCACTGATAAGGTTGCACTAGCCTGTTCCTTAGTGTGGGAATCATTTTGGCTAATCAGATCTGGAATATCTCACTAAGCATTTCACTTTTCTTACCCATTTGTTCAGATGCATTGCAAGTAAACGGGGATTTTAAAATGTGTTTGCATTCTTGATAAAGCATTTTTACCCAGGCACGTGGCAGAATTCCTATGAGTGGAAGTTTTCAAGATGCAGTTTGACGGGACTACAAGATCTCCTCTAGACTCCCTCCCTAGCAGCTCAAGACCACCTTGGAAATGAGTTGCTAAGCAAACAGAGACCCTTTTACAAATTCACAGAATGACAGAATTGTTTTGTTTGGAAGGGACGTCTGGAGATCATCCAGTCCAACACGCCTGCCAAGGCAGGGCCACCTGGAGCAGGTGACAGAGGAACACCTCCGGGTAGGTTTGGAATGTCCCCAGGGACAGAGACTCCACACCCTCCCTGGGCAACCTTTCCCAGTGCTCTGCCACCCCCAATGTAAAGAAATTGTTCCTCATGTTGAGGTGGAACCTCTTGTGTTTTAGTTTATGGCCGTTGCTCTTTGTCCTGTCACTGAAGAGAGTCTGGCACTCCTGTGCAATCCAACAGGAAGGCTGGGTGAGGCAAGTGCCATTCAGCCTCCACTACTGCTCTTCTCTGTACAAAGACTTCAAAGCAAAAAATATCTTAAATTCTTTACTAACACACCATAAGTGTTGCAGTTTCACCCAAAAACAAGTGAATATTTGTGAGATAAGTTATACATGCCTCCTACTGTACCAGCAGTAAATATTAACATTCTTTTCGGACCTAAAAGCAGAAGACACACATTGAGCATTGCTTTCTAAAGCAAAAATTTAAAAGAGGATGTAACAAACACCACACCAGGGGAAAAAAATCAACATAACAATATCAAGTTCCTTTTTTGTAGCTGTTTTGTGATTACTCCATGCCCTAGGCTAGCCAGTTAATTTTCCCACCAAACGACTTTTTGGGAACCGGGTTCCCAACCTGGAGAGGCTGAAATGACCCCCTGATTTTGTCCCACACTTACCACCAGTTTTGTGACACTTGTGCTTCTGCAGAAAGGGCGACCCCTCAGCCCCAGACATCTGCTGTGTTGAAGGGACTGGAAGGTTTTAGGGACAGAAGGATAGAAAATGAAGCCTTTCCCACCTGCAGCTCCTCTCTGCTGCTCCTTGGCTGTTCCTTACTGATGGAGATCAAGTCAGGGTGTGAGATTGATGGCAGCCAGGAGCAAGGCCCTCAAGGTGACCTCTGTGGATCAGCCATGCTGACTTTTTCCTTCCTGCTTTCCCTGGTTTTACAGCCTCTGCCGCACCTGGTGAGAGGTTGGTTGTGACAAGGGAATGTGCTGAGTTTGCCATGGCCACTGTCCCCTCCCAGCCTCTGTGGGTGAGGGAGGAAGCCACTGTCAGAAATAAGGTGCAGTGGGCAGCACAACTTACCTTCTCATCACTTTCCTGACATGAGCTGTCGGTATTGATGCCTGTGCACACGCTGACAGCCCTGAGTAACATGGTACATGCATTTTATTGACCCCTCTGACACTGCTTCTGTGCTCCATGGGCCAGTAAGGGTTCCTCCACACAGCATAAAGTATATTTTTCTGCCCATTTGAACCCAACCTCTTACCTGTTTTACAAGTACCTCCAGTACTAGTAAGGGGAACATTTAGTTAAAATGAAACAAACACATTAGTCCAATTCCCCCTTTCAGCCCTCTGTCCCCCAGACTGAGGAGTCACAGCTACTCTGTGCCCGCTCCTTTCCAGCACTGTTTCAGTTGTCTTTTCCTGTGTTTTGTCCCAGGCATTTGCTGCTGGGCTCCTCTGGGGATGCTTGTGAAAAGGCAGCCAGCTGAGTTCCAGGGGTGTTGCTGTCTCTGTGCTGCTGCCTTCCATGAAATGTGTCCTGGGCAGGGGGAATAGGGAAGGGGTTGGAATATACCCATGCCTATACATGCCACTGTGCAGGCACCACAAGTTAGAACAGAATTTTTTTTTTTTAAAAGAATTGCCTAAAGGAGGCCAAGGGCTGACACACACACACCCAGAGCTTTCCCCCCTCCCCTTGCAGTCTCTGGACCACTTCAGGGGACAGTGGGTGGGCTCCACATCCCTTTCCCTCCAGGCTGATGCTGAAGACCCTCCACATCCTCCCCAGCTTCTCTGCACTGGCAACGTTACATTTGCAGTCTGGGCTTTGCCGTCTACGAGTCTGAGCTGCTTTTCTCGTAGTCCTTTTCCTAAATCAGCTCTCAAACCAGTTTCCTCCTCACTCCAGTTTCCTTCCTTCAATCCGCAACGCAGTTACTGAATGCAGGAAGCCGCCGGTCACGCACTGAAAAAAAAGCGCACAACCACAAAGTCGCGGAAACACGGCCAAAAAAAAAAGAAGTTATTGTTTCCTGAACGCTCCCGAGAACGACTGTGGGAAGGAAAACTACAGCTCCCAGCAGGCAGCCGGGAGCCAGGGAAGGGCAGAGTTCACCGTCACGTTTCCAGGAGGATTCAGGGTGTGCGCTGGTGTCCTGCCACCAAAGGGCCTCTGGGACGGAGGGCGAGGGGAAAGGCCAGCTCTGGCCTTCTCTTGCCACCCCTTTGCTCCTGATCGCCGCCCTGACCGGCTCCGATCCTGCCTGGGTAAGCGTCCGGCTCCACTTTGTTCTGCTGACTTCCTTCTCCTGCTGGAGCGTCAGCATCGGGAACAGGGAGGGGACGGACGAGAGCCGGGCGGCAGGGCAGTGACTGCACCCCCGCAGCCCCGAGTGGTGTGCTGGAGACAGTGCTGGGGGGTGAGGTGTCCCCCAGCGCCCAAAAGCTGCTGAGGAGGCTGGGCTGGAGATTTCTGTACAGAAAACCGCACGGACTATTCTCCAGCGGGAAAAGTTTCTTGGGAGTTTTCCATGCCGCCTTAGCTGTGCTTGGGAAAGCCGTCAGCTGGGTTACACCAGAGAGCCCGGCTCCGTCTGTGCCCTGTGCCAAAGTGCTGTAACCGGGGGGAATCAGCTCTGGAGGGGTGCAGAGTCGGGCTGCGGCTCCGGGCTCGCAGCTCCCGGCCCGGCACTGCTGAGCCCCCGGCGTGGCTCTGCCGGATCCATCCCACACGGCGGAGACAGGAGGGTGGGAGTGACGGGAAGAGAAGGGTCATTGCTCCGTGTCTGGCCTGGCTGCGAGGTACCAGGAGCCCAAAAGCAGCCGGGGCAGCCTGCCGAGCCCCAGGCTCCAGGCCTGCCGTCCGGGAGCAGCGCTGAGTCCGTCGGGATGAGACAGCAGTGCCTCACCCCCCTGGCATGTCCCAGGATAAATGCGGTTTGCATTAACCCCTGGACTGACGGGAAACAAAATAGCTGACGACCCATGGGTTGAAGGTTCATAGTTATGGGCGACATCTGCCCATTTTCACCTTGGGAATCATGGAGGAGGAGCCTCCTTCGCCGTGAATCACGGCTTCTGTGTTTCTGCTTATCAGGTTTGTGGGCGTATAGTTGGAATTGCCCGGACCCGGACGGGATGGTGCCTGTGAGTGGGGCAGGGCTTGGTCACCCTCTCGAACAGCACGGAGATACAGCTCCGTATGAACATCGGAGAAAGTGAAACCAAACAGTGCAGAAGCCAGAACTCCAGGGGAAAAGGAAAATGGAAGAGAATCCAAGCGTGGATCTGCCTGCAGGTAAGTGGATCCTTGGCTTGTTCCATCTGCTAGGAAAATCCCTTCGCTGCAAGTTTTCAGCAGTGATATGGGGAACCTGTGCAAAAGAAAAATAAACCAGTAAAAGAATCCCATCTTTTCCAGGCCAAGGAAAGCAAGCTGCCATTATTTTTTAAAGGGTGAAAGATGAACAAGTTACTTTCAGTTTTAGATTCCGATCTGCAACAGGTTTAGACTCTGTGTCCCAAGATGGCAGCACAAGGAATGTTGAAGAGAGAGATCCAGACTGGAAGAGCTTTCTTCCTTATATCCTGGTGCTTCCCACCATCAGATGCTTAAATAATAAGCCAGTTTTCCACCACCTGTGGTTGGAAAAACTCTGGAAGAGGCAGGGCAAGGAGTAGTTTGTGCCCAGCTTGAGCAGCAGGATACATCCAAGTTCTTCATGTTTCAGTTTCCACCTTGTACTTACACTCTGTGGGAGCCTTGTTATGACTAGTACCTAGGAGTGTGTCAGTGATACAGTGATGCCGTCACCAGCTCAGGTCTGTCCTAGGTAGTCACAAGTGTTACTGTAATAATCAGCAACAAAAAAAGTAAAAATCGTGTTCTGACAAGTGACAAGTGCAGCTTCTTCTCTGTTTTCAAATTAGAAGGGAGTTCCTTGCCCTTTTTATCAGTGTTTATTCTAATTATAGCATAATAGTTTACGTCATTGTAGTGCTTGATCATTCATAAGGAATTTTTCACAAATAGTGCCTGAAATTCGAGCTGCACTTAGGTTCTGTAAGAGTCAGAATGTCACAAACACTGTTCAGTTGCAGAATCTCTCTATTGAATTATGCTCCAGTGTTTGTTTCTAATTAAATGTTGCCATAGCTCTTTGGGAGAGCAGCTCCAGGACAGAAACAGAGACAGAGCATGAGCAGAATTATCATTTACATTCAGACAGATGCTTGAAG